AAACAAGATGATAAGGGACAACTTCTGGTTCACTTAAGTCTTGGTTACCTTAACTTTGTTTTTACTTTTCCAGTTCCCTACTATTTCTTGTTTCCTTTTCTTTGCGAGCTCTGCAAATGTGGAAGTGTCAACTCCACAAACTGAATTTGGAACTTGTTTTCTCACTGCGACTTTTTCCAACTAAGCTCAATCAAATATTTCACAAAATCAAGTCAGTGACTTAACAAATGATTCAAAACCTGAAAATTGAAAAACTACAGCTTCACAATTCAATTTCCGATTTTCTAGCTAAACTTTATCACGTATTCATTTACACGTTTCACACATACTCATATACTCGTTACGCTTGCGATAAGCAAGCGTTCTCAAACAGGAATATAGACTTTTTTTCTAGTTAACAACTAGTTTAACAAAATCAGTTGAATCAATTCTGCAGCAACCAAACATGCCCAATTTCTTCAAAAATCAATTTTAACTACTGGCTGAGTACTAGTTACTACAGGATAAATTCAGGGGGACTTCAAGTTGCTTAAAAATTTCTAAATTAAATTTTTTTTCGGCTCAATTGGTGTCCGCGAAAGATTGTTGGCCGTGTTTTAGCTTCGTAAGTTTTGTCCAGTTGCTAATTTGAATTTCAATTGTCTTGCTTGTCATGTTTGCCCAAAAATTTTGTTTGATCGGAACAGTTATTAAGAAGGTGTAAGGGTTTTTAAGTTTGTTTTGAGACGCTTTGGAAAATTCCATCAACAATTGCTACTGAATTTCCAAATAGGGGTATAAATAGAAAAACCGTCTAATTGTTGCGTTCCGGCATACTCCTCTGGCCTAGTTTTGCTTTCCGCTTTTGTCTACAGCCTTCGAAAACATCTGTTGGGGCATATTTGACCGATATATTTTTCGTTTTCTCAAAAACTAGTCTTCCAAATCTGATATTTAGGTTTCATTGAGTAGAACGGAAACTAAAAGCTCCCCTTAAAAAGCAATTATGCACATGAACTTATGGCCCTCGGCATATTGTAGTTTTTGTGTTTTGACCATTTTGAAAATCTTTTTCAAGTTTTTCTCAAAAACTAACCTCACAAGTCTGCAGTTTTGTGTTCGATGGAGATAACGGGTAGTGGGAAACTCCCCTGCTTTAGCAGTGCCCTTCATATTTTTTTTGCACAAGAAGTTATCGTCGTGGGAAAAGCCAGTTTTTTGAATTTTTGAGCGTTATTTAAAATTTGTTGCATTTAAGTAAAAAACAGCCTTCTATATCTGCGATTTTGTTTTAATCCAACGAACGGGCTGTGGGAAGCTCCTTTGCATATGCGACTACCCCAAAATTTTCTTACAAAAATAATTAAAGCCCTCGGAAAACTAAAAAAACTTTGATTTTTGACCGCTTTTTTGAAAATTTTTTGACTTCTCTTGAGAACTACCCGGTCAAAACAAGGTTTTGGGTTCAATCGAAATAGCAAGTTGGGTGAATCTTTACTACATAAGTGGCTACGCCCAACTTTTTTGAAAGAAAAAACTATTATGCTCAGAAATGTCAGCTCTCGGATTTTTGTTGACCGTTTTTGATATTTTCTCGATAACAATCAAAAACTGATATCAAACGTTTAATCGATCCAACAGGTTGTTGGAAGCTTAACTTCATAAACGTACCTTAACTTCCAAAGTCTCAAAATTTTTCACTCTTCTCATTTTAGTGCAAAGTTTGCTTTTTGAAAATACTAATTTCGTCCCGCAACGGTTTATCAAATTCTAAAAATATTAAGTACTTACCTTCAGTTTTAGCTGAATCCTAGGTGTCCTTCAAAGAGATATACAAAAATTTTGTTTCAGCTTGTTTTTTCATTAATTTCCATTTTTACTCATACTTTTTATTGATTGTGTTGTATCAAAAATGGTACAAGGCTCCGCTTCGCCTTTTTGTATTTACATATATTTCCTCTAGAATCAAACTAACATTGTTCTTAGACTTAAGCTTTATGCTGATTAGATAAATCTTAACCAATTTTAAACACTGTTTCTAGTTCTTATTTTTACAGCAATCTACGGACAAAAAACAAAAAATATTATTTCAATTAAATCCATAGCTGCGGATTTTTTATATAGGTTGTTTTTATTGAACTCTTCATCTCGGATTTGGAAGGGTAGTTTTCGAGGAGCGAAATAAAGCAAAAATAGCAGAACCAGTGAAATTTTCGTTAGCAATCTTCTTGACAGAAACTAAGGAGTCGCTGCAACTACAGTAAAAAAAACTCTCGCAAGTTGTTCATTAGATTAAACCTTAAAATCAGAGAAGTTAGTTTGGTAGGGTTTTGTTAGAGAAAAGTCAAAAAGTCCAAAGACGATCGAAAAACAAATATATATTTTTTCGATCGATATAATATTGCTCTACACAGAGGCCGTACCGTTTAATACAGCAAAGAATCCCAGCCTGTTAATTCCACTAAACTATAAAAATGAAAAGTCGCAGGGAAGTTTTCGACGCAAATCAAGTTTCCAAAAAACTGTGAAAAAATTATTTATTTGACTTTTCCGCGTGTCACTATTTTTCGTGCTAAAATTGGCCCTGGTTACTCGATCAGGTGAGATTCTAACAGTTTGTTCTTTCGAATGAATTTGAAACCTAAATTTTCAGCGGATAATTTTTTGAGGTAAGACAAAAAATTTGAGAATACGCTCAAAAATAAATTTTTTGAGCGCCATAATTTCGTGTTAAAGGAGTTTCAATGAAAGTCGTGAGAAGCGTTTCACTGTCAATTTGTAGAATTCGTGATAAGCGTTTCACTATCAAATAACAGTGAAAAAAATAAAGAAAGTTTGGCTGGTTTTGAGGGCCATTGTTTTTATTTCGAAATAAATTGGCATAACCGTTTAAGCAGGGAAGATTCCCACAACCCATTCATTTGAGTGGAACCAAAAACCCAGGTTTGGGAGGGTAGTTTTTGAGAAAAGTCAAAGAGCCAAGAAACCGTCAAACCGAAAATTTAAGGGCAATAACTTTTTGTGTAAAAAATTTTGGGAGTTGGCTTTTAACGCAAGGGCGCCCTCCAAAACCCCTTCTTTTGATTGAACCCTGTACATTAGATTTCGGTGGCTTTTTTCTGTGAGATGTGATATATACAATTAAGATTCACAATTTGACTTTTCGAAGGCCATAATTTTACTGTAAATTTTTCTTGCATAACCGCTTATACAGGGAAGCTGCCCAAAGCCCAATATTTTGACTGAACCCAAAACTTTTTTAGGAGGGAAGTTTCTAAGACAATTCGAAAAACATTTCAGGATTCACCACTTTTTGGATCTACAAAATTGCTGTTGGGGTTATTTGAACCCAAAATTACAAATTTGGCAGGCTAGAGTTTGAGAAACGGAAAACCAAACAAAAAAGTGCGCAATATATTCCACAGATTTTTTGGAAGGTTGTAGAAAAAGGAGTAGACCAAAATGAGACTATGGGAAGAGGTATGCTCTCAAGAGTCTCCTCATTAATACTACGGTAACTAAAATTGTCGGAAAAAATTTCCTAGGCATCTCAAAAAATATAACATAGCCAACACACTATAAAAAGTTTACTTTGAATTGTTTTTTGAAATCTCACATTTTGAATTTCTAAGAAAAAAAACAAGATCTTCAAGCTCTTTGAATTTCTAGAACAATTAATGATTTTTAAAAATAACAATTTGAGAACACTGGATCGTATCAATAAGTAAAGTTTTTATTTTGATGGGAAGTCTGAAAAGTAAATTCCGCATTCGAAATGAGAAGTCGGCCACGTTTTTGGTGTCCTTTACTTTATTTGTTCGGTAGTCAAGTTGCCTTCTTTAGTAAAAACAATGAACTTAACTTCAAAATAAATTAAGAACTAAAAATTAATTTCGAGCCCGAACAAAGTTCACTTCTTCCTGAAAAAAAACATCGCGAATTATATGCGAGTTTGAAACACGTTCATCGAAAGTAAAAATGCTCGAAATTTGCGCAGAAAAAAGTGACTTTCCAGAATCTTTCATACTTAACCTCATTGTATAAACCTAGCCCATGTTTCGAATTATTTTACGCAATTTACACAAAAACTTTTTGTTCCGGTCATGGAAACTGTGGAGGAACTTTGTATTCATAAGTTTTGGTCTTTGTTTTCCACGCATAATCAGGTACAAATAATCATCGGATTCGTTCGAGTGATGTACTACCATACCAAAACCCTTTAGGTCGTGATTCGAACGACAACAAAAAATTTCCGTCGAGCAAACCGGCTGCAAATTTTGATTTTTTGTATTATTTCAAGCGAGTGAGCAGGCGTTTATTAGCTTATTTATTCTTAATTTTATCCTCGAAAATTTATTTTAACTCAAAAAAGTTTTTTTGAAGTTTTTAGCGCCATTCAAGGATTTTTACAAAAACTTTTTCCAATCTGCCTATTCTTTATGCGTCGAATCTGCCTAAGATCTAGTTTTTCGTGCTGATCCTTTGACACCACACAGAAACAACGCCACTAATTTGAAACACATTTTTTCGTATTTTTTTGAGACTATGGTCGGAACATTGTGCTACTTGCACAGTAAACGATATCCGTTGTTTCATCAAAGACCTGGGAAAACGGCTCATCGTCGCCACAAAAGAGCCACGCGCGGCTATGTTTTTAAAACAACGGATATCTATTGCTATTCAAACTGCCAATTCCGCCTGTATTCTGGGCACAATCCGAAAAGTTGACTCCCTTAAAGAACTTATCTATACTATATAACTCCTTCATTTACATGACCGCGTATTTAATTTACATTTTTATTGTTTTTGAATTTATCAGGATTTATTGAGATTTTGTGAAAATTGAAAAAAAGATTTATTTACATATTATAATTAAATTTTTCTAATTCAGTTTTAACGGATTATCGATGTAATTTCACTGATCAGTAGTCGGCAATGCACATTTTCTGACAGTGGTAAGTAAGATCGACCCCACAACGTTTCGTTATCATCCGTTTTTTACTTGGTTCAGATTGAGACCGTGAGATTTTCAAATTCAATTCACATAATCACTATTAATTGACTAGCAATGGAGCGCTGATAGAAGATGTCAGTTGATTTCGTCTGTGTAAAACTGTGAAAAATTGAACTTTACATAAATAAATTGAAATTTTGAGCGAAAGATGTTTAATATGAAAAAGATAAGTCACAAGAGAAGCTTTTTATAAATGGACATTCCCAGTATCTACCAAAAACAAACAACTTCGAATTCAAAATCATTCCTTGTTGCTTCAAGATTGTATCAGATACTGGAAAGGTCAATCTGCTAAAAATCAAGAGACATTTCTGATTGAATGATTATATTAGAAAATTCAATGAATTAACTCGCAAAACTACACAAGACTCATACTAATGATAAAAGCAACCTTTCAGCGCGCCATAATTATCGCGATTCACGGTGAATGATTTGATTTCATTGAGCTGAAAGAGCTTTTTAATTGAAATCTAAAATGGGAAGAACAGACTGATCAATTAGTTCTAGTAAATCAATTGTGCACTAGTTTGAATCAGAGATCATAACAAGAGTCCCATGATTTGTTCTCTTCTTCAAACAATGTACTGTAAATGCTGCTCCCTCTGTATTTCGTCCGGTTTGGTTTACGATCGAGTTATGCGACGGTTAGTGTTCATTTTCTTTGTCTATCTACAACACCAAACAATTCCTCCTCTTCTTCCTCTTTTTAGTCTGCAGAGCTGCACGTGTTGCAGTTTCAAACACTTCTCTCACTCCATCCTTACTCTTAGCTGAGCACTCGAGGAAAGCTGAGGCATTGATCTTGTCCGCCATCTGACGACCTTCTTCCATTTTTACTGGCTCCTGTTTCAGCTTGGCCAGCTCTCGTTTGGTATTTTCACATGTCCGAAGATCTTTTTTGTTTCCAACTAAGATAATCGGAACGTTGGGACAAAAATGCTTGACCTGAACAAAAAGTATCCAAGTCAGTCAAACACTTTTCATCATATATTTTTCTCAGAAAATCGTTTCTGACTTTTTTTGATTAAAAACCAATTTGAAAAAAAAACAATAACTCGCATAATCTTTCATTATCTTCGAAATGTTCTTTTTAACAACAAATTCGTTACCAAAATGGGCCATAAAACAATGTTACTTTGCTCGAACAATAAGTGAATTGCTGATACAAAACAAGCGTTGCTTCCGTTAACACTAGATACACTTTTCGATTATCGAGCATTCGAATTGCCAAGAAGCGCGAATAAAAAATTTCAATAAACTGCTTAAAACTTATCAGCACAACGACCTGAAAAAGTTCATATACTAATTCAATTATTCCAGAAAACTTTGTTCAAATTTCTTTTATGTTTTCGAGAGCAGTAGCTGTCAAACTAAATTAAATGAAGTGTGGTATTTAGCATTATCAAGTAACTCGGCCGATATACCACTTGGCTTTATCTGTTAAAAATGTATCTCACTTCGGGTGTCCATTTTTCTGGTATATTTTCCAAGCTATCGGGACTGTCAATTGAGAAGCACATAAGAATAACATCAGTATCTGGATAGGATAGTGGTCTCAATCTGTCGTAGTCTTCTTGCCCAGCAGTATCCCATAAGGCGAGCTCGACCTAGAAAAATTTCACAGCTAACGTTTTATAGACGTTTGTCAAACGATCAGATCATGAGATAAAACTGTTTAAAAAAATTGAATTCGAAGTTCTAATTCCCTTTTCCTATGTTCAACAGTTTCCAAAAAAATGATAATGATCTTCTGCAACACTATATTGAAACACAGATTTGCTTGTCACTTTAATTGCGAAAACAAAGACAAAATTTCTAGTTTGAACTATTTTCAAATTTTAAAAATTATCGGGCTTCATTGAGCATTAGAACAGGTAACTATGCCAGCAATATCTGGATAGACAACATGAAAAAATACTTGAAGCTCCAAATTCATTGTTCCAAATAAGCATGGAAATTTCTTGCCTAACATATGACGAAATTAAATTAGGACTGCTAAACGCTTGCCGAATTAACCATTAAATGGAAAAACGGTTGTCTAAAAAAGGAGCTGGTAATTGCACAACTTAGATTAAAATCATGTTGAAATGCAAAATCACTCCCTTGCAATTAAGTTCCTGTAGATGCTACCAGGATATGAGACCTGTTGACAAAGATTTGAAGTCTTGCAAAAATGTTCTAGAAATGTGTGACAAGTTTCAAAAATGACGTGGAATTGAGCAGTTATGGGTCAATTCACTTCGTTCGGATTCGTTAACCCACAAGGATGTTTCCAACAATTCGGCATTTACTTCATTCATATTTCACACATTTGTTGAAATTTATAGAAACTGTTGACCAGATTTGCCCTAAAAACTTGACGTTTAAGATCTAAATGAAATTGGAAAAACTCTGAAACTAGAAATTTCAACATGCATTCAATTTTGGCCACAAAAAAAACCATATAACAATAAAAACGGCTAAGATACTATACAGTAGGAAATTAAAATGCCGGAAATTGAACTTCCGCACATTTCAGCAAATTAAACCAACTTAAACTCTATTTAATAAAACCCACAGACCTGCTTTCCATCAACTTCGATATCAGCTACATAGTTTTCGAAGACTGTTGGAACGTATACTTGAGGAAACTGATCTTTACTGAAGACTATAAGAAGACAAGTTTTCCCGCAAGCTCCATCTCCTACAATCACAAGTTTCTTCCTGATTGCGGCCATTTATCTATCTGAAAAGAAAAGACAAAATAATATTAATAACCAAAATTATTGACGCTAGCTTTTCATAGCTTCAAATACTCAAAAATGATCTGTTTCAGAGCTTTCAATGTTGACAAAAACAAAATTCTTTAATCCACAGATTTTTAATAGTATCAAAATTCCCCAAGTAACTTTACAATCAGATCTTCATCAGCAAGTTACGTGTCGTTATCAATACGTAAACGAATATTTTATAAATTCGTCCACCAATCAGAGACTGCTCTAAATTTAGAAGAAAAAAACTGAAGGTTTTTGAATCAAATTATTAAGTGGAAGATATCGGAAAAACATCACTGTGCTCGGAGGACTTCACAATTAATTATAAAAAAGATTCGAAAATTTATGGAAATTGAACTAAAGCATAGACTGCAATAATTCGTTTACAGAACATGTTCAACTTAACATGATACAACATTTCAAAATGAAACCTCTCCAAATTGAGATGAGATTTAAAATGAAACTTCTACAAAATTCCTCCAAATTGCGACAATCCTATCTTCGGGAAATTTCACCTACTCACTTGTAATGCCATACAACCTGGAACGGAGCGGGACAAAGTGCTACAACTCTACCATTACCCACACATGAAACAGCAAACTCAGTGAAATATGTGTGCTCTAATGTCTATTCTATTCTTTGCTTTTGCTTTATAGATATGTTTGTTTAATACTGTCTAGTCAAGACGTAATTCAACTTCTCTCTCTCTCTCTCTCAATAAAACCTCTCCTTTCTCATTCTCTCTCTCTCTCTCTCTCTCCTCTCAAGATGAATAAAGGATAGCCCGGTAATGTGCAAGTAGCACATAAAGTTCCGAACATATTCATAAATCAAAGTCTAAAAATAAAAAAAAACGCGACCCGAGTCGAGATTTTTCACCTAATTTGAAGTAAGATTTAAGCGGTTTTTTAGACAATTACGTTCAAAATCTTGCTTCAAAATGAGCGGTTTGAGCGGTTTTTGAACGGTTTATCTAATAAAACCGCTCAAACCGCTCAAATCTTTCTGAAAAACCGCTCAAACCGCTCATATCTTGAGCGGTTTTTGAGCGGGATCTCGACCCGGGGATTTCCCTCTGAGTTTAATGTCGTTTTCAGCGCTGTGTGCGATTTGAGAATTATCGAAACGCGGAGAAACTTCATTGTTTAGACAATATTTGTCTTCAAATATTTTGAATTTTTGAAGATTTTGATTCCAAGCAGACCTTAAAATCTCAAAAAAAGACCGACATTTACTCGAGTAAAACTAAGTTTTCACTGCTGAAATTAAGCTATCGCAAGCTATTAAAATAAGCTTTTGTAAATTTGCTCGCTCGGATTATTTGCTCGAATTAAGACTGATGAAAATATTTCCAATCTGTTTTTATCGATACTTTCTAAAATTTCCCTACAACAATGCAACAGAAGATGAAAATCTCAAAAACATTAAATGTGACAAAAGATGACCGCAAACTTCATACACTGACAGTTATTGCTCCCCCCGAAGCAAAGCAATTCATAACTAGCAACAAAAGCGAAGGAATCATTCTACTTAACAGGACGGTATTTCCCATGGGATGCTTTCGAAGGTCTCATAGACCCAAGAATATTTACCTAGCCAAATAAAATTGTCGAATTTGCCTTATGTATGCAACGATATCGAAGCGAAATTAATTCTCCAATTGCCAGAAGACATAATTCATAGCCCCATATTCCAACGTGAGACCTGTATTGTAACTGAACTGGGTTTACAATACAGGAAGAGCAATTTCAGAAGTTAAAATACAAAACGAAGAACAAGAGAAAAAGATGACGGACTGGTCTTACAAATCGAGAATGGATGGCTTTAAAATGTGGGAAGGTGTAGAAATCTCGTTTCACATACCTTCACTACATGAAAGTCAAAAATGCAAGATGTCTGGACAAAGAGAAAAAGGTCATCACGATGATTGGTGCAATATAGGAAACCAAAAAACCAATAATCCAAATATTCAGTACCCATAAAAACCAAGCTCCAATAATGCCAGCGATGAGAAAAATGAGGACGAAACAACAAGAAATAAGTTTTGTAATGGTAGCGAAAATGTCGAAGGAAAGAATGTCGAAACACCACCATCTAGAGTTTTGGTTATTGAATCTAAAACAAACAGTGCAGCAGCTTAAAGCGAAGAAATTTAAAAGGATGAGGTTCTCAACAATCAGGTCGTAGATTTTCGTTCTTACCAGGGATGTCGAATACTCGGATTTTTTGATATTCGTTATTCGCCGCGGCCCAACTATTCGATATTCGACTTCGGCCGAATAGTGCCCTTACTATTCGGATTCGGCTTTGGCCAAATGTTACTACTCGAACAACTATTCGGATATTTGGTTATTTTCCCAAAAAACTTAGCATAAAAGTTTGATACAACAAATTCTATAAAAAGTATTGAACATAGCATTTTTCAAGTAGAATTGGCTGGGACTTGCGTAATAATGTAAAAATCGCGGGAGTGAGTAAATGTTAAAAATCTGTCACAACTCACAAGTTTGGTCCGATGCAATGACAGTTTGGACCGTTTTGCTATCACACACTTGCGTGTGTTTAGTCATCGAAGTCGTTGACGCCCCAATACTCTTAATCAAAACATTGCATTTAATGCACTTTCTTCCTTCCGTTTTTCTACCACCTCGATATTCCACAAGAAACTTTTCATGCCATTTTGCCACTCCTTTTTCTTTTCTATACTCGCACTCGGCAGCGACATCAGACTCTTCTACATTAGCCATCTTATAAAAAAACAGAAAAATATTGTGAAACAAAACAGTAAACCAATATTCGGAATATTCGGGTTTTTTAGCAGTGGACACTGGATTATTCGGTATTCGGCAAAAAAAAATATTCGGATTCGATATTCGGATTTCAAAATTTTAATATTCGGATTCGGCTTCGAAGTGCCGAATACTCGGTATTCGGGTCGAATACTCGGATTCGAATCGATATCCCTGGTTCTTACTCTGCAAAAG